TCTCTCTCTCTCTCTCTCTGTATCCTCCCTCATCTCATTTTCTCAGCAACTCTTGCCTATTTCATTCCCTTCTTGCCAATTCTCGTGTCATGCTGATTAGAATCTAACCTAACCCTTTCATTTTCATAGTAATTGAAAATTTCACTTGCCTTTCTTCTTCTGTGTTTCTAGATAGCAGCGCCACAGCTGTGAATGTGGAACCACAATTTCTGCTACAATCTCACCATGTACTCAACAAGGACACAGAGGATGAACTGGTAAGATGAGATGAGATATATATATATATATGGCTATCAGTCCACCGAGGCAATCATAATTTTTGTACGAATGATTACTTTCTCATGTCACCCTTTATTTGTTTTTTTGCTTTATAATAACGTCACTGTAAGGCGGGTGGGTACCAGTATAAGTGTTTGTGTCCATTGGGGCTGATATGACCCTATTTTTTGCGGGGAGGAGGGAAATAGGTCGGGTCGTTTCCGTCCTGTGTGTCCACACTGTTTGTAAAAGGCACGTCTTGTCAGGTGGCCTGCTGGTTATTACCCGGATGTGTGGGCTAGACTGCTGTCGTGGCGGGCTGTGTCCTTGGTACGGGACTTAAAATAGTCAAGAGGTCAATGAACCCAAAGCGGGAGTAAGAAATGTATTCGTTTTAAAGGAAAATTGGTAAAATTGTTAATATGCATTTAAACCAGATGGTTTGCGCTTGGATTTTGCTAATTTTGAGGCGCTGATTACAATATGACATTAGATTTTTAATCCAAACTCAAATTATAATTTTTTATTAGCTCCGGAAGGGCCAGTGGCTGATGAGTCACCACCGGACCCGACTAAAATGTAGCAAGCGGCTTTCCAACCGACATGTCTTTTGCCGGGACTTGTTGTGTCGTGTCTGTTGACACAGTACAGCCCAACGAAATTTTCACTGATTTTTTAGGGAAAAAAACTGTGCTCAATTTCAACTACCCACTTTCTGAGAGATGGACGGAATCGAATCGGTTGGTTTCTTTCCCAATGGACACGAGCCCTAAGATGTGCACAACTTACTGTGTTTACTGTATGAGCCTGTGTCAGAACCGGAGTATTTTTCTACTACGTTTGATGCAGTACTGTTTGGTACTCTTTTTATATAAAAAACATATTTTTATACGGTTAAAACTGTTTAACATGGCAATCCATTGTCAAAGAGGAAAGTGGCCATACTAGACTGATGATGAATTTTTGGCTTGATGAGCAAGGTAGTACTCGGTAAAAATTTGTTGGTGTGATACAAAAACAGGAATTGTAAATGACAGCACTGTGATTTAATTCTGGCTTTTCAGGAAAATCTAAGGCATTGATTTTGATATGGGCTGATTGGAAATAAACCCTAATGTGCAGAGAATTTCTTCATATTAATTTTTAAAAAAATGTTTTGTTTTATTTTAGTTTGCCATTTTTTTCTCCTTTCTTTCCTCTTCTTCATTGGCGGGTGGTTCTGATATTGTTGTCGAAATGTATCCTCTGTCTCGTAGATATGGTTGCTGTGGGTGGTTGGCAGGTGCTCTGGTGTGGTTTGCTTCTTCTTTCCTATCAAAAGTCTATCGTCCTTATCTCCCCTTCATTTTTTTGTTTGTTACTCTTTTGTAACAGCTCTAATCTTCTGGGGCTCATATTACCTTAGTTGAGAGCACTTTAAAACTTCTACTTAGACTAAAAAAGATATGGTAGCTGGATATTTGGATGTTGTCTGGTGGTTTCTTTTTTTTTTCCAATGTTGCTTTCCTTCTAATCTATTTATGTTAAAGTGCTAATGGTTGGTTGGCGGGTGTTTCGGTGTGGTTTGCTCCTTCTTTCTGTTGTCCTCATCTCTCCTCCTTTCTTGTGCTTATTACTCTCTTGTAACACATCTAATGGTCAGCAATTATCCGACTTAATTGTGTTCCGAGTGCTGTAAAACGGAATTCTGGCGGTTGGAGGGCATCAATGATTGGTCCTACTTCTTTTTTCCCTCCTTTGTTTCTCTCTGGACTCTGTATTAAAACTACCAATCACTGATTAATGATTATTCTTTTGCCTGTATGATGTTGGCATGTGTGCTCTTGTGTGGTTTACCCTTTCTTTCTTTTCATACATCTATCATTCCTTTTCTTTCCTCTTTTTCTCTTTATGTTACTCTCTAATAAGACTTCTTATATATTTAGCACTTATCATCTTATGTGAACTGTTTGTGCCATAAAATGCTTATTAATTTATTAAAACAGCACAAGATTCTAATATTCGACACTTATATGATATAGGGTGGAGTTTGCTGAAACTGAAATCTGTGGTATTGCCAGCTTTCTTTCGTTTAGTCAGGATTTTGGTTTAAAAAGGTTGTTCAAATAGTGAAGAAAAAAATCAGGGACTTTTTTTAATTTATTATTTCCTTTTGGTTTTCCCCTGTTTTCGTATTAAACTTATTTGGGCGCTGATATGACCTTAATGCAGTTGCGAGCAATGTAAAACCTCTACTAAAACATAAAACTGATTTGGTTAAAGCAGACTCCAGTGTAATTTGTGTTGCAAAGTGCCGTAAGACTTTTATTTATTGAAAACTAATTTTAAAAAAACTTTTGGTCTGTTTGTGCTGGCAGCACTGCTGGGGCTACTCAGACTCCCGGTGGAGGCGGATGCTGTTCTTCCTCCTTGTCCTGCTCTCTGTGGGCCTCCTTCTGCTGGTGGTGCACTGGAGGCCACAGCTGGAGTGTCTGCTCAAGAGGAGGAGGTGCTCCCTCTACAAGGCCAAGTACATTCTTATCAGGGTGAGTTTGATGGGGTG